AGCGGCGGGGGACACATCCGGCAGAAGGCCGTGCGCAGGCCCTCCAGCATGTACAGCACCGGCAAGAAGAAGGAGAACCCCATCGAGGACGAACTCATCTTCCGCGTGGGTGAGCGCCAGCGGGGCCCCATTGACTGACATTGACCACCATTGACTGACCCCCATTAACCCCCATTGACAGCTACTGACAGCTGTTGGCAGCTGTTGACCCCTATTGACATACATTGACCCCCATTATGCCCATTGACCCACATTGATGCCCATTGACACCCATTGATGCCCACTGACTTCTCTTGATCTCTATTGACTGCCATTGACCCTCCTTGACCTCCCTTGATGCCCACTGACCCTCCTTGACTTCCAGTGACCCTCCAGTGACCCTCCACTGACCATCTTTGACCTCCATTGACTTCCATTGATGCCCACTGACAGCCATTGACCTCTCTTGATCTCTGTTGACCCCCATTGACCCCTCTTGACCACCCTTGACCTCCCATAGACCTCCCATTAACCCCCTTGACCCCCATTGACTCCCATTGAACCTCCTTGACCTCCATTGATGCCCGGTGCCCCCCATGGATGCCCGGTGACCCCCATTTATCCCACTGGCCTCTCTTGATCTTTATTGACTCCTATTGGCCTTCCTTGACAGTTATTGATGCCCACTGACCCCCATTGACCCCCCTTCACCCCCTTGACCCTTCTTGACCTTCCTTGAACCCCCTTGACCCCATTGATGCCCATTGACCTCCCTGGCTCCCCCTGCCCCGTAGGAAGCCGAGGCCGGGAGAAAGGCGAGTTCACCAACCTCCAGGGCATCTCCACCTCCTCCAGTGGCCGCATAGTGGTGGCCGATAGCAATAACCAGTGTGTGCAGGTAGGACCCGGCATGGCCCTGGCCCCACCGCATGTCCCTGACCCCCTTAACCCTCCCCCCGGGGACTCCCGAAAGGTGTTTTCCAACGAGGGTCAGTTCCGGCTGCGCTTCGGGGTGAGGGGCCGCTCCCCTGGTCAGCTCCAGCGCCCCACTGGTGTCACCGTCGACATGAACGGGGACATCATCATCGCCGACTACGACAACCGCTGGGTCAGCATCTTCTCCCCTGAGGGCAAGTTCAAGGTGAGATGAGGGGGGGACACAGCAGCAGGGGGGACACGGCTCTGCACTGGCCCTGACCCCTGGCCCTGTTCCCATCCCTGTCCCAGACCAAGCTGGGCGCTGGGCGGCTGATGGGCCCCAAGGGCGTCGCAGTGGATCGCAACGGGCACATCATCGTGGTAGACAACAAGGCCTGCTGTGTCTTCATCTTCCAGTCCAATGGCAAACTGGTCACCAAGTTCGGCAGCCGCGGCACAGCCGAGCGGCAGTTTGCAGGTATGAGCCATGGCCGTGCCGTGCTCCTCACCATATGATCCTCAGTGTGTATCCATCACCATGTGCCCCTCACCATGTGCCTCTCACCATATGCTCCTCAGTATGTGCTCTGGGCAGCCCTGGACAGCACCAGGGCACGGTGCAGGGGCTGGGGCTGGGCTCAGAATCCTGGTTTGGGTTCTGGGCTCAGGTTCTGGTTCTGGGCTTGGTTTTACCCCTGAGCTCTGGGTTCTAGGCTGGGCTCTGGCTCTAGACTAAGTTTCTGGGCTCAGATTCTCTGTGGTTCTAGGCTGGGTTCTAGTGGTGGTTCAGGTTGTAGGGTCAGGGTCAGGTTCTGGGCTGTGATTTGGGGGTTGGATTAATGGTTTAGGTTCTGTTCATGGTTCTGGGTTTGGGCTGTTTTGGGTTCCGGGCTCAGGTCTGGGCTCTGTTGGGGCTCTGAGACTTGCTCTGTCCCTCCGGCTGCCCCCGGCTGCCTGTGGTGCTCACTCACTGTCCCTGTCCCTGCGCCCCAGGGCCCCACTTTGTGGCCGTCAACAACAAGAATGAGATCGTGGTGACCGACTTCCACAACCACTCTGTGAAGGTGAGTGACAGTGTCCCATATGCCGCGTGCTGTGTACCATGTCCCTTGTGCCTTGTCCCATGTGCCATGTCCTATGTCCTATGTCCCATGTCTTGCATGCTTTATGCTGCATGCCATGTTCTGCGTCCCATGTCCTGTGTGCCACATCACATGTGATGTGTCCTCTGTGCTGTGCGCTATATCCCATGTGCCATGTCCTGTGTCCCATGTGCTGTGTCCCACATCCTGCTTCCGGTGTCCTGTGTGTCACATGCCTTGTCCTGTGTCCCATGTGCTGATGCTGGTGCCATGTGCCGTGTCCCGTGTCCCTTGTCTCTTGTCCCATGTCCCATGTCCCGTGTCTGTGTGCCAGCGCCAGTGCTGGTGCTGTGTCCTGTGTCCTGTGTGCCGGTGCCAGTGCTGGGCAGTGACCCCCCTGCAGGTTTACAGCGCAGACGGTGAGTTCCTATTCAAGTTCGGCTCTCACGGGGAGGGCAATGGCCAGTTTAACGCTTTTTTTGCCAACGGCAACATCATCGTGGCTGACTGGGGCAACAGCCGCATCCAGGTACCGGCACCACAGCCCCACACACACCTGAATCCCTGTGCTCATCCCGTCACCCCATCCCAGTGTCATCCCTGTGCTCATCCCATCACCCCCATGGCAGCCTCATCCCTGTCCTCATCCAATCAGCCCCATACCAGCCTCATCCTTGTCCCCATCCCCCTTGTCATCCCCATCCCCAGCCTCATCCCCATCCACATCCCGTCCTCGTTCCCAGCTTGTCCCTGTCCCCATTCCCATCCCCATCCCATGGCAGGCAGCTGGGTGCAGGCAGGGATGGGGTTTGTGGCCCAAGCAAGGGGGACAAGGTCCAGGCACCCTGGGGGCCACTGGGGCAGGGATGTCCCCATGGAGGTGGGTGCCTGAGCCATGAGGGCAGGTGGTGAGGGCAACACTGGAAGTGGGGACAAGGGGGACAGTGTGTTGGTGCCTATCCCCACAGGTCTTCAACAGCATCATCCCCATTCCATCCTCATCCTCATCCAATCCCCATCCCATCTTCATCCCCATTTCATAGAATCATAGAATCATAGAGTAGTTAGGGTTGGAAAGGACCTTAAGATCATCTAGTTCCAACCCCCCTGCCATGAGCAGGGACACCACACGCTAAACTATGTCGCCCAAGGCTCTGTCCAGCCAGGCATTGCACACCGCCAGGGTTGGAGCATTCACAACTTCCTTGGGCAACCTATTCATCCTCATCCCATCCTTCACCCCATCCAGGGATGAGGTTTGTGGCCCCAGGGTAGGCTCAGCGCAGCAGGGACACGGTCCAGGACCCCGGGGCAGGGGGTGCCCATGAGATGGGGGGTGCTTGGGCCATGGGGACACTGGTGGCACTAGTGGCACTGGTGACACTGGGGACTGTCCCTGTCCCTGCAGGTGTTCGACTCCTCGGGCTCCTTCCTGTCCTATATCAACACAGCGGCAGATCCTCTGTACGGGCCGCAGGGCCTGGCCCTCACCTCTGATGGCCATGTCGTGGTGGCCGACTCGGGCAACCATTGCTTCAAGGCCTATCGCTACCTGCAGTAGCACCGCGGCACGGGCTGGGGCTGCCCCATGGCACGGGCTGAGGCCGCCCCATACACAGGCTGGGGCTGCCCCACACACGCCGCCCCACACATGCTGCCCCGGCCTTCACGTGCACTTTATCCGGGGGGCCATGGGGCCCGCGCCCCCAGGGCTGGGGAACCTGAGGGAGCCACTGCTGGGGGCTGTGGGGTGCCCCATGGGAGCTGCCCTCCATGGCTTGAGCCCCAGGTGTGGGGTGACCGCACATGCCTGCTGCCCCACAGCGGGCTTCTGTGGGTCCTGGTGGGGCTTGGTGGAGCCC